GAATCCCGTGGCAAGCAAGAACGTTATTCGAGTAGGCCTGGGTACCCTACTTCTGTAATTTATCCCAAGAATCTTCTTCTCATAACAGGAAGAAGCTGGCTCAATCTGCCCAGGGTGAATGCCGCATCAGTACAATAGATATAGTATGGACATAGGAATCAATACTGCATAATCACTGTCAGAAAACTGCATTGAGACATGAAACTGAACATCACCATACAGTGTTGATTCTTATATCCACTCTATCTATATCTATCTATAGTTGTTTATCTATGATCTCAAAAATGATGGCATAAGTACTAACTATTATTAGGTTTTTATATATTGTACTTTCAATATATAAGTAAATACTTTTATGGTAATTGTTTAGATGAGCTCTTCACTATGGTACCTAGATATTTTGAATTTAAGCACAGTACTAGACTGGCATTGAGATCTCATCAATTTACAGTTGAGTTGGTTAGATGTAATCATAAATTTTATGCTAATAATTTCTTTTCTTGCACTTCTTGCTTGTGGAACTCCCTTCTGCTTCCATGTTTTTCAGACAATTTTAATCTATAAAAAAATTTAAATGCAATCTCAATTGTAATCTACTGTCCTTCAGATTACTCTTTTCTCTTCCTGCTCATTATTAAATTATCCTCAAGGACACATGGCACAGTGGATAAAGGCATTGGTTAGATCCAGTGACAAGACCCAAAGAGTGTGAGTTCAATACCCGGTTAAGGCAGTGGAGAACTTTCAGAGGGAAATTAATGTGCCACGTCTAATGGATGTCAGTTATCAGTTATCTCCTGTTAATTCCCCTTTCCAAGTTCTCCACTGCCTTAACCGGGTATTGAACTCACACACTGGATCTAATTAACGCCTTTATCCACTGCGCCATGTGTCCTTGACAAAGATGAGGACAATAGTCTGAATAATGTAAATAATGTACATAATACCTCATCTCAGAAATATGGACAGATACTGAAAGGCTGAAATGTTGTAATAAATATGGCGATAAAGATGAGGACAATAGTCCAAATAATGTAAATAATGTACATAATACCTTATCTCAGAAATATAGACAGGTACTGAAAGGCCGAAACATTGTAATAAACATGGCGACAAAGATGAGGACAATAGTCTGAATAATGTACATATTACCTCATCTCAGAAATATAGACAGATACTCATTATTAATGTTTCTGTTCCTAATTCTTTCACACCCTGTAATCCCTTGTGTCTTAGTGGCTTTAGTGCCTTGCATGGGGTGATACTGATTAGAAAAAAATATGGTTAATTCCCATCAAAAAGTTACAGATATTACAGATTCCTATATCCACACTATCTATATCTATCTATGTTTGTTTATCTATGCTCTCAAAAATGATGTCATATTTTGTTAAGTACTGACTATTTTTAGGTTTTAACATATTCTTCAAATATTTAAGTAAAACATAGATAATTCTCATCAAAATAATTACAGCCATTACAGATATAAAATCATTATATATATATTTCAATCCTAAAATTGAACCACCTATTCTGTGAAAACATCTATCCATGCTAGGTTAGCCCATCTACCATCGAATAGTTGAGTGCATACTACTTCCCATGAGTAGTGATGTGGACCTCATTATGCTGTAGTATCAATTAAGCAATGAACACAGCTTCTCCCCCAGATATGGGTTAATTTGTAAGACTTGTATCACTAAATAGTTATCTTGAAAAACAAAATTCTTATAAAGTAAAAATATTTTCCGGCTTTAAATAACCTGCAAAGGGTTTATAAACCATAGAAAAAGAATCAATCAATGAAATACTGATTAGCTACCAGGTATGTCTTTTAGATTTATTTACATTCTCTGGAATATAAATGTATAGAAACTATGATGGCCACAAAGTGAAGGATCATTTTATGTAGTGATTGTAATATAGAATTGATCCCCCACTTTATATCCACATTATAATTTCTTGTTCATTTATCAGATTCTGATTTGCTATGAAGCCACCTCTTCTCCCCTCTGCTATGGGTTAATTAGTAAGACTTGTATCATTAAACCATTATTATCCCCCCAAAATCCTTAAAATTTAAAAATATTTTCTGGCTTTAAATAACCTGCAAAGGGTTGATAAGCCATAGAAAATGAATGAATGAATCAATCAAATACTGATTAGCTACACAGGCATGTATTTTAGATTTATTTACAGCCTCTGGAATATAAATGTATAGAAACTACTGTGGCCACAAAGTGAAGGATCATTTTATATATTGATTTTAATATAGAATTGATCCCCCACTTTATCTCCACATTATAATTTCTTGTTCATTTATCAGATTCTGATTAGGTATGAATCCACCTTTTCTCCTCCAGCTATGGGTTAATTAGTAAGACTTGTACCACTAAATAATTACCTTGAAAAAAATTCTTACAGCCTAAAAATATTTTCTGACTTTAAATAACATGCAAAGGGTTGATAAGCCATAGAAAATGAATCAATTGATGAACATAGAGCATAATTAATCTATGCCAGGCTAAGTAAATTGACTAAACACCTCTCTTTACTCAATATTAACTTCCTTACCATTAGTGGAAAACTGACTAATTTATACACATTACAAGTGAATGTAATAAATGCTTTTTGGTACCAAATCAAATAAAAAGCCACTATTCATTGTCCTTTTCAACCACTAGCCAAAATTTCATCCTTACAAAAATAAAAAATAGAAATAATCTAATTAAATTTGGTTATGGTTAGCTTCACTGTAAGCAATAAATTTACCAAACACTTCAATAAAGTAACAATTGATTATCTTTTAAACCAATAGGTAAACTAAAAGTCTGTTTCAGCCATTCCTGAAGTGAGACAATAATTCTAGTTCTTAGACACACAGAGGAATAGAAGTTATTTTTATCTAACTACTTATTATGTTTATTAGTATTTATTGATTGAATTCATTCATAGTGTTATTTCTATTTCTCTATATCTTCTTGCATAGGAGGAGTCTAAGTTACTGTGCCGAACGTATGATTTTTAGAAAATCATCTAATAAATCGAGAGTGAAATCTCAAAACTTGCTGGAGGTATTTGGAGTAGAAGTTCATGGAAATGAAATGAGTTCAGTAATGTAAATTTTAGTGATGAAGGCTGACTTTAATTTTAACTATGTCACAGTATCATTGATTTCTTTGATAATTTTGATAGTTTATAGTTAGTGATATGAATTTTTGATCAGATTTGCTTTTTTAAAAGCACTTGATTAGAAATGATGACAATTTTGTAATCTATGCATTTATTGAAATAATCTTGTTGGAACTTGCAACTGCTGATTATTACTGTTTGGTTTAAAATTTTGGTGCTGTTTCACAAATATAACAAAATTGCAGTGATTGCACAAGGAGTTGAAATGTAAGATTTGAATTTTTCCATGGACACTTTTTTGGGGGGATGATTGTTGATATGTACTACAATTGTTGATGTTTCAATTGAGCTGTAGAGGAGGCTAGACGCATATAGAAACAGAAAAAAAATTGCCAAAGTTATCTACCTAATGGGAACATTGCACTACTGTATATGTTCCACCCCCACCCCCCATCATTGGCCTCTTATACTGAAAGCAAATCTGAACAAATAGATAAATAAGTGAACAGAAAAGGTTTATTTTTGAAATTCTTAAGTATCATCATTGGAATTAGACAATAAATTAATGAAAGCATTCTTCAAAATTTACTTTAAAATGCACGAAGCCGTTTTAGAGCATTTTGGGTATTTTAAAAATGGCGTCTTATGAGTTTTCAAGATGGCCGCTCTCATGAGATATTGGACCTGAACTTTTACACTCAGGTACTTCGTAGTATGGAACTAAATGGCTATAAATTGAGCAGTGAATAACATATTCTTAAAAATTTAAAGTATAAGTAAAATTTGGCTTCATTGTCACAATTCATTTATTATTTTCTAAAACACATAGTTTTACACAATCATTGTGCTTGCTACTCACGTTTTATGGTATCTGTTTTAACATAAACATTTTCTTTTATTGATTGTAAGTTATATGTAAGTAAAACCATTCATAAAATTAACTTTTATTCGTTTAAAAACTTTTAAAGATAAACAATTCAAACAAAGTTTGGACTTGTCTTTATGCGTCACGTACAAGGGAGATAATTTCAGTAAAACTCATGTCGGCCATTTTTCACATATTCTATGTATAAATCTGTTTCACCGGCAGTTAAAATTTTACAAGATTGATCGTTTTTAACTTTTATTTATATATTTGCAGTTTCATTGTAAATATTCAGCCGAATAAGTATTCTATAAATAAAAACATAAACATTTTAAATATTTATTTTCGTGAAAACGAGGCTCCCCCCACATTTGAGTGCGGCGGCCATGAGGCTAGTTAGGTTGGACGTCTCCGTATATAGGCTGCTGAATTTCCGTAATTTTTGGAGGCCGTCTCGCTGGCCTTTTGGGATCTTTTTGTTTTTATAATCTCTCAAAAAGAAAAAGAAAGTGCTGCGCACACAAATTTCCTTTTAGATCGACCACGCTCCGCAGGATGCGATGGTGAAAATGTGAACAACAAGCGTGTAGGCCAAGACGCACGTATATACATCTACATGCGGTTGACCGTGTGTAAATGTTTGTGTCTGACAGACAAACACGAATATCTCTCTCACTACGAACGAAGACATATGCAACAAAAAACAAAAATCGCATACTTTTTTTTTCTTGCACATACGCCAGTGCCCCTTGCATTATAAATATAAAAAGAGAAAATTAACTACGAAAAAAAGTAACAAAAAAAAAACAAAAACGAACACTTAGTAGCCTAGAAAAATAGAAGAACACCCATTTTTGCTTCTATCTTTTTTTTTTTTTTTTTTTTGCTGTTATTTTGGTTGAGTTTTAAAAGGAAACATTTACCGAAAATTTAAGTCGGTTAAAGAAGGAAAAAAAATAGCATAAAAAGACTTCTTGTTTAAAAAAGAAAAAAGAAAGGCCTAATGGATGTTGCAAGTGATACAACGAGCGCGGTTGCCGCATCTTCAGGAGATGGAGGCGAGACGAAGAGTGACGGAAGCCCCAAGCCGGTAACTACCGAGGTAGAAAATGACTTTTTTTTTTTTTTTTTTTTTAATTTATTATTTAAAAAATATAAATAAAATAATAATAATGCTTGCAGTTCTGATTAATAGATCCAAAATCAGAATGCTGCTATATAGTTGGCACTATCGAAATAATTGGATTTATTTAATTTAATTTTCAGCGCGTATTTTTCTTTTTTCTTTACTTTTTAAACTTGTTTGTAATTTTACCTTCTGTATATAAGCAAGTGGGGGTTGAATGTCCAGTAGCAACGAAGATAGTAGTAAGAAGAAGAAGAAGAAGAAAAAAAAAAAAAGCATTTCTGGCATGCATAAAGATTTGAACATAACCTGCTACTGTGTTTAAGAGATAGATTTTTGGTTGCAGCAAAGGGTTGCAATCTTTAACGGAAAAATTTAGGGGTGAAAAAAAAAATTATTTTACCGCCATGATTCAAGGGAGGTAATTTGTTATGTAGGGGGCGGCACCTGTTTTACGTTAAAAAGGAAGAAAGGGATGAAAAATCGTAGCAGCATTGGCACGAGAAGAGACTTATTTATCAGCATAATTTGCCGCATAAATAGCATTTATACATTATAGATACATGTATGTATGGAGATATATATATGTGTAATTCCTATGTATATGTGTTTTAGCTTTTAATGAGAGTATGCTTAACACTAACAGCCTTATCTTAAAAATTAAACTTAAATTTTGATTCTGCTATTCGATTGTAACGTACGCATGGTGATGTAAAGAAAAACTCTGACATCCCTTTGGATAAGAAAAAAGATAAAACAAAAAGAAAATTTTTCTTTTTTTTTTTTTTTTTTTTTAATATAGATTACTGGCAGAATTTGAGGTTGAAAGTGGTATTTAACATATCTTTTGTTTTTCTTTTACAAAATACCTTTCATTAAAAAGTACGATTTTGAAATAATTATCTTAGTCAAGCAATTGACTATTTTTTATCTTCTAATCTGCAGTAGGCTAGATATAAAAAAAAATGTATTTTAAAGGAATAGTTTAAATATTTTTCAGAATTATATAAAAAAAATTTCACCTTGTATTAATAATTCTCGATTATCTAATAGTTTTTTTCCTCAGTCTTCATTTGAAATTGTAGAACCCAACCTGACATTAAAATGTGGAATTAAAAAAATATGTAACTCGATGCTTTTTCAAAAATAAAAAAAGAAAATGACTTAAAAATCACAAATCATCAAGTAGTTGTTTGTTTCTTTTTAGTAACTTAGTATTAATTTGTATTATTATGTACGCAAAAATGGCGACGTTTTTTGTTTAAATTTTCTATAGTTGTTTTCCTTAAAGCAAAAATAACTTTATTTAAAAAAATAACTAATCAACTAATTGATCATTTTAAGCACTGAGCAAGAAGAATTGTTCCCTATTTGATGATATCAACCCTAAATTCAGTGCCTTTATTTTTGTCTTTTTCGAAAGTAACTCCTAAAATAAAAATGTCTAACGAAAAATATTGGATTTTAGAAAATTCTCTTTAGTATAAAATTAAATTTTTTCATAAACCCGGTAAGAAATAACAATAGTTATCAAAATAAAGATCCGCTTCATGATAAAAATATTCTGGTTGCTAGTGTTTTTCTTTTCTTTTCCCTCACCTTTTTTTATTTTTGATTTACCGCCAATATCCATCATTATTATGTTACTCCAGTAAAGCGTGCTCGCCTCGATTACTTAATAATGGTCTGAGCGCCAAACAGTCTATTTTATTTTTAGGGGTTTTAAGGTCATTTTCCCGATAGAGTAAAATTTATCAAGGAATTCCGAATGTGAATGAAAGAAGAATGACATTTTTACCAACTAATTACTGTTTCCAACTGTTGATTACCATCTTTTCACATTTATTATTCGAATTCTGCTTCTAAATAAGACTAAATTAAAATCTTGGGCTATAACAACCTTACTTGCTCGTTATATCATTTATTCTGGTAGAATTCTTTTTTATTGAATAAAAATTGTTTTTTTTTTTTTTTGCTTGTTTTTACTCTCTAATATAACACGCATTACGCCTCAGTCTTTGTTCGTAATGCATTCTTTTGTTCATTTTGTTTTTAGAAACAGGTTTACGTGCCGACATCTCATAATAAGTAGGGATATTAAAACAGGTTTCTAGGGCTGAGGAAATGTTCTAACTGAATCCGTGAATATACCATTTATTTTATGAAGTAATGGGAATTTTCAGCTTCTCAAAATTATCACTTATTTTCTAATCGAACGTTTTTAAATAATCCAATGTATCTTACTAATTGTTATCATTTATTTGGTGAATGAAGCAATATCATTTTAAAGTTACTGTTTTCATGATTATTTCCATGAATTTTTATTTTGATGTTAAAAAATATCAAACTTTGTAATATTAGCTTTTTATATTAAAATAGTTTTGTCCATTTTTTAACATACTTTGGATATTTCATTCGAAATGTAACCGTCGTTAACCATTTTCAGGCCTTAAAAGGAACGTAGAATCATTTTGGTCTATTCTAATCTAGTGTAATTTAGTTAGAATTTTGTACTTTTGACATTCATTCTGCAGGTGGATATCTCTTTGGAAAATTTTCTTGCAAAGACAAGAGTGAAATGAAATTCATAGTAAAAATGCAGTTACGAACATATGGTTCATAGTTGATTGACAAATGAATGAATAAATCTATAGGCTTTTTTTTTTTTTAAATATCAACATGAATAATACCAGGTTGATTAACCAGAACGAAAATACGATAAAAAATTGTAATTAATGTAAAATGTCTTTTCTGGTTTTAACATTACTCAGCTTGTTAATAAAACACTTTTTGCTGCTATGGAACAAGTCGGTCAGTACGAAAGACTAGCTCCAAATTTTCACTATTATGAAATGTTTCCTACAGTCAATTGATTACATTGTCTCTCTGGGGAAATGTGTGTGTGTGTGTGGAGGGTTTAGCATGGTCCCCTCAAACATATACATTGTTCTATTATATATCTTTGTGAACACGTGTATGCCCACAGATTCTTGCTTCATACCAATCTTTGCACATACAGACTAACAATTACATATCAAAAACATAACACCATTCCTCTATATCTCAAGCTATACATAGGACATTTCACTATGCAAATATCTAACTTTCATTTGTATACTCCATTTTGTACTCCTACACATGACAGTGCAGATTTTGGAAATAAATTTACTAAAATTGCACAGGCATCTGTTTAAAATCCTGCATTAATGTATCTAGGTACAGATGCAAAAAATAAAATGTTTTTGGAACTTCAAAAATATCACTCACCATAACTTGACTACAAATTCAGTTTTAACTTAAAACAATTTGCTACTAGTAGGTATCCCAAACTATTTTTTTCCTTCAATATATTTAAAAGCTTTTCATGTAGGCATATAGAGCTTGACAAAACCTACAAAATGGTACCAAATCTATCTTGCTAGTTCAATTAGCAACTGAGTTATGACCAAAGTCCATCGGATTTTCCATCTTGAGTGAGATTGGGCCAGAAGCCCATTTTAACAGTGTATATGTGAAGATACAGGCTTCGAACATGTGAAAAATCATTATAAATGCAATGTCATTAAGTAATAAAAGAAAGATAATACTAATGAAATTAATAATTATTAGATAAGACCAGCTTAAATGGGGGAGAGGGGCACATCACATTCTGTCCTAAAAACAGTGCAAAAATAACACAAAGCAACTTTGACCACTTATATAAATTTCAATTCTACTGTTAAATTATTAAAAGTTTTTAATGTTTCATAGCATGTTAGGGATTAATCTAAATTTCTTTTCATGAGAGTACATCAGTAAAAAAAAAACACTCTTATTTCATGTACAGGCGGAAACAAAATTTGATATTTGGGCAAAAAAAGGGTAAAAAAAAATATACATTTTTGAACTTGCTGTAATATAAAAAAAATGTATCTAGTGGAGGTACAAGCCTGAAACTGGAATCATAGTATATGGCAACCCATTGGCCTTGTCTTTCATATCTGAAGATCACTTGATATGGTTCTTCATCACAACTACCAGAGTTAGTCACTGGATCTTCAAGTTCCTGTGATGTAATTTGAATGGCAGGGAGTTCATCAGCTACAAAAAGCATCAAAGGGCTTTAGTGGCTAAAATTTTCTTTGCTGTGTTAAATGTTTGAACTTGCTTCATAAGTTTTGACTGTTTCACTCTTGTATTATGACAGTTTGTAGAACCATGCAAAAAAACTCAACTAAAAATGTACAATTTTTGTATCACAAAAGAAATAGGTAAAAAAAGAGTGCTCCTTAACGATTTTGCGAAAATATTTATTTTTAAATCGTTCTCTAAACCTGTGAGCTTTTCTCTTATTTAAGTGCTTCCCTCATGGTTCTTAAAACCATAAACATTACAGAAGTTGGGCTATAAAATAGATGAGACCTCACTAGAACGGCGCTCTGGTTACTGGGTATTACTGCCATACCCCCCCACCTCGATTTCCACGTTCTTTTCATCACATAGTGTTTTTAATTGCTTAAGCAACCTTTTTGTACATTTCCAGGACTTTAGGGTCTTCTTTGGTCTGCTTCTTTTTCACTTAACAAGAAAACAATCTCTTGAGCATTTAGCTGACCATCCACTGAACAGAAGATTTTTAAATATTCATCATGTAAATTTAAAAACCTAAAGTAATCTCCAGGAATGGAAAGCACTAAAAAAACAAAATAAAAACAGATCTGTGATATTAGGAAGATCAGAAATAAAAAAATTGTTTTTACAAAAAATGTTTTAAATTTTATAAGTTTAGGCTTTCACTTTATAAAGAAAAAAAATACAACAATCAAAAATTTACATAAAAATAAATGAACTGAAAAAAAGTTGCATTCTTTTTTTCAAATGGCAACTTTTGCTTTTGAGATGTTATATGTACTGTTAATTAAAATTTAAAATATGCTTACAAGTAAAAAATTACCATAAAATAAAATCTACTTTCATAGTTAAAAAAAGTAATATTT